GGTGGGGTGGAAACATATATCTGACAAGGTGTGAACCTATTCCTCTAAATCATATAAGGTGTTGTAAACCATTGTTACTTCAATAAAGGTTGAAAAAAAACCCTGAGATTTTTAATATCTTTGAGTCTATGTTTTTTTCATCTGCACACACTGTATATATATATATATATATATATATATACACACACACACATATATTATACATATATACTTACATAGTATATATGAGTTTGATGAGGATATTAAATAAATTATCCCTATAGGGGCACTTAGCATTCTGTCCAACAGCTACTTATTATTTAATACACTGCACAACTAATTGACATGATTACTCTTAGTACTATCATCCCTGGTGTCAGTGGTGAATCCTTTGATGTTAGTTTTGGTCCTCTGACTTGTCTGTATTCAAGTCTGGTCATTACTGCATAGATTATATTTTTGTTTAAGAAAAAGATGGAAATATAAATAGTAAACACAGTTTATGATGTGAATTCACAGTGACCATTCACATTTTAATTTTTAAAAGTTATGATTGCTAATTAAAAATCACTTGATCTGAATGGTAGGAATCTCCTGTGAAGCCCAGGGATCCTCTTTTGTGATAAAGCTATAAACCAAACAAGTACACACATTTACCTGCCCATGTTATTGCAGTCATATAAGACTGAAAAAATGAGATGGCCTTATTTGATCTTTGAATAAAAAGATGATTATTTATTGTAGAATCTGAATTCTTGAAAGTATTTCTACACCATTTGCTAGTGGCCCCTGCAAACCAAATATGCAAACAAATGTATACATACACATGAAACTAGTCTTGGCTTTCACATTCACCAGTTAAGGAAAGATCTGGAGTAAAGTTTAGGTTAGCAGAATGAGCAGAGTTAATGTGTAATATTTGGATGGTTTCTGTTCATTGTTTACATCTATTATTTTAAAATCATAGCATATGAGTAGCATTTCTTTTTCTTATGTTAATTCTCTACAGGAAAAATGTTAAATTAATTTTTCTTCTTTGTCATAAAAGATATAGGAAGATAAAATTCAGGTATGTTTTCCCCTGAGAAGAAGATTCAGTTTGTCAGAATAATACAAGTCCATCTACTGTAGCTTGGTACTCCAATTTTGTTCTTTCACTCAAGAACCCTCTTTGAGATTCAAAAGGGTTGTTTTTATAACTTGATTTTGTTTAATTCCTTGTTTTGACAAATACTGAGCTTGAACAAATTGGGCTTGTACTTCTCACTACAATGTAAATAAAGGCAAGAATCTTGTCGAGCTGTTTATGGTACCTGGCACAATACTAACACATAATAGGCATGCAGTGTTTACTTTTTGATTGACTCGGGGTTTCTCAGTCTTGGAACACTAACATTTTCCAGATGATTCTTTATTGTGGGCAGCTGTCCTCTGCTTTGTAGGATATTGAGTAGCATCCTTGGCCTCTACCCTTTAGGTATCAATAGCATGACACCTCCATTGTGACATAAGAATATCTCCAAACATTGCCAAATATCTCCCTGAGGAAGGAAGGTTCTAAACTGCCCTCTAGTAAGAACCACTAAAGTATATAGATGGACTGTCTTGCATGTCAAAGGAGGTAGTCATAACTATAAGGCCCTGACCAAAAACATGTGGAAAATATTTTATTTATATAATCAGTATAGATCACAAAAATGGATCATCCCCCCACCAAAGTTAACATGATTGTTGAATGATTGTGATAGATGTTATACTAAGAAGGAAATTATATTTCATCGTCTTTATGTAGAGAAATGGAGTCACCCTCAGCCACTGTGAGTAAAATTTTGGCAGTGTTTATATCATTCCTTTTACCTCTTCCAGTCTAACTCTTCTGGGAACCTAAAGTTATTTCTGGGTCTGAATACTGAGGTTCTAACCCTAAAGTCTAAAAAATATTTAACATTGCAAATGTGTTATGGAAGTCTGGGTTATTTTGGTGGTGCAGCTGCTGGAAGCTCATACATTTCTGGAACGTGAAAAGCATCCGATGACAATGTGCAATTGTTCTCTAAGCTATTACACTGCCATTTGCCACAAATCTGGCATCCTTGACATGGTGTTTGGAGAACTGGAAAAATCTGCCACCTTTTAGCAAGGAGGAACATTGGGTGTGAAGAGAGACCTAGGGGGATAGGCTCAATAATCACACTTCATCTCTGCCAAGTTCTCAGTTCAAATGGCCAATGTTTTAAATAAATCACTCCTTTTGTCTAAAGAGATATGAATGTTTAGATGACCTTGGGCAAGTTTCTAAATCTTTCTAAGCCTGGAGATGTTTGTGTATCTATATACTGCCATTGAAACAGGGAATTTTGGTGGTAGTTATATGATTTATATAAAACACTAAGTACAGTGCCTGCCATATAGTGGAAACTGAATTGATATTAGCTATTATGAAAATTATCAGCATTATTAAACACATGCGGATGCTATATTCCATAAACTGGCAGCCAATTATGATGGAAAAAGCACAGATACAAGTACTATGCCATATAGACTCAGACTGAAATCTTGGGTCAGCTACTTTGTAGCTGTGTGAACACTTGTATCAATTAGCCTTGTATGTGCCAAAGTTTCATCTTTGTACAGAAGAAAAAACATTGTCCTGTAGTAACAAAAAGACTTAAGTCATTTTTTTTTTTTTACAACACAAAATGTGTTTTTGCTCAGCAAAATGTCCATCAAGGTCCAGCTGCAGCTCTGCTTTATATCAACCATAGGCCAGGACCAGGGTTGCCAGAGTCATCTCGGTGCATCTCATGATGAAAGGAAACAAGCAAGACACCAGGTCACCGGTAGGTTCCTGAAAATTCTGAGCAAAAATGCACACCTCACCTCTGCCCAGTTGCAAAGGTCAGAAACAAATAGCTTGGCACTCCTGAGTTCAAAAGTTCAACGATATATGCCACAGGGTACTGCAGGGGTTACTGCTACAATAGACCAATGTCTCTAATGTGGGCCTCTGAGTCTTGATCTTTGATTCTGTAAAAGTGGGAGCAGTGATAGATATAATTAATATATGTGGGAAAGATTAGGATACTCCAGACTCTACCATAGGTATTTTAATGTACAGTATCAAGTCCTCACAACCACCAGCTAAGGTAGATAAAAAACTGAGATGGTGAAGAGAAAAAGAAACTTCACACACAAGCCCATACACACAAGTTGAAGGACACACACTAAGTGCTTCATCAGGTTAGTTCTCTCCCCTTCTTATAGTTGCATAATGGCTTATTTTTGAAACAACAGTTTCTAACTGTTTTAGACTCTAACTGCATGTAGGAAGAGCAGTAGGAACAAAACTGGCTGACTACAGATGGCACAACTAGCCTGTTGCAGTTCTTACTCACTAAATTTCTAGTTTTTCTCTGACACAATCCATGGGCAGGGGGCAATCTACACTGGAAGTTCTTTCTTACCCAAATTTGGCTTGTTAGCAGACTCCAAACTCTTCATTTTCATCTATCTTTCTCCCCCATTCCTAAATATGAATACCTCCTCCCAATTGCACGCACAAGCACACGCACGTGCGCACGCGCGTGCGTGCACACACACACACACACACACACACACACACACACTCCAAACCTTTCTGGCAAATCTTCGTAGTAAACAGATGGCCTATCTGTGTTGCTGGGAGACCACTTCATACATGAATCCAGTCCAAAGGGAGTGAGAAGAAAGGACATAACAGCTCTACCATGTAGTGGCTAAGAGCTGACACTTTTTTCCCCCTGACTCTTGATTGAATTCACTCTAGCTACATTATCTGCTGGCTGTACAATCTTGACCACACCACTTCTTTTCCATGCGACTCAGTTTCATCTCTTAAACGAGAACAGTCCTACCAAACCATGGGATTTTGTGAATATTTAATTAAGAATATTTATAAAACCCTTAGCACAATTTCAGATTCATAAAAAAACTCAGAAAAGTTTCTGCTACATATTATTTCCAGCAAGGATAGCAGTGGAAAGGGAGGATAAATTGAGGCCCACTTTGATTAAGGCTCAAGAAAAAGCGTCTGATTTTTGGAGGGAGGGACTCATTCCTATTTGTGATGACTTTGGGCAATTTCACTGTGGGGGGCTTATCTTAGGCAAAGGACCTCAGAAGAAACAGTATGCATTTTAGAAGAATTTTAAAACTGAGTTTCAGTCCTTGATTAGCCTTGCATGAGTTGTTTCACTTCGACTAATTCAACCTCACTAAGGAAGATAGAGCAGTGTATTTTTACCTTTAAAATGGGCATGATTGTTTGCTCCTAACCTCACCCAGTAATCCATGAGGATACCTACCTCTAGCACATAGTCCCAAATTCAAGATTAATTCATTCCCTGCCTCCCCTCTAGCCGGGTTCCCTCTGTCCTGGCCCTCTGCTTAGCCTTTTTTTTTTTTTTTCTTTTGTTTGTTTGTTTATTTATTTATTTATTTATTTATTTATTTATTTATTTATTTATTTATTTATTTTTAAGCATTTGTCCTGTTCTTCGCTGTATCCTAGCACCTGGCGCTGCCTGGCCCCTCGGAGGACTTCCACGAAGCTCTGGGGGAAAGAAGGGAATCCAAAGTGTGCCTTTGGAGTTGAGAAGTCACCAGAACTCACACACCTCCCCATGAAAGGTGTGGGTCCCTTTCTCTTAGCTGGAACCCCCTTCTTCAGGCAGGGAACAGCCTTGCCGAAGGTGCCAGTCCGCTTGCCCCAGCCCCGAGACCCAAAGTTTGCCCGGGGCCTGAGGACACCCGCGCGCGCGGAGCGGGCACCAATGCCCGCGGCTCCTGCCTCGCCCACCTCTCGCCCTCCCCTCAGGAGCTCGCAGCCGGCCAATGGCAGCCTCCCCTGGCGGCTGGGCGGCCCCCTCCCGGCCGCGTCTCCCCCAGCCCGCCCCTTCCCTCCGCACCCCGGGGCGGGATCCGCTGGGCCGGCCGCGCGCAGGCAGCTTGGCGGCGCGCAGAGCGTTCGGAGCCGGCGCGGGGCACCCGGCTCGCCCAGGGCCCCTGCTCGCGCCCGGGGGCTTCCGGGCCTCGCGCCTCGGACTTTCCCTGAAGGCAGCGTCTGCCCCTGAGGGCGAGGACGCTGGTGAAGCTCGAACTTCATTTTTTAAGGGGCACCCCTAGGTGAGAAGCCCGAGCGACGGTGAGCTATGGACCCTGTGAGTCAGGTAGGACAGAACCTGGCTGGGCGGCTGCCGGGGCTACGGAAGGGCGCCCCCAGCCCCTTGCTCACGCTTTCTTTTTCTCTTGTTGGTCCAAAGCTGGCCTCTGCAGGCTCCTTCCGAGCGCTGAAGGAGCCCCTTGCCTTCCTCCGAGCCCTGGAATTGGTGAGTAGCCTGAGTGTGCGGGGAGGGGATCCAGGCAGCAAACCCTCAGGTGAGGGCAGGTGGGGGCGAGAGGCGCCCCCTGCTCGTTTCTGCTCTGAGCCCGGGATTCGATCCTCTGACTTCAGTCCTCCCCACAAACCAGGTGCTCCCCGGGCCTGGCGCCGGCTGGATGGAGGGACCCCGCGTGGAGGTGGGAGTGTGGACGAAATATTGCTGGCGCTTAGGCGAGTGTCACCTCACCTTGCTCTGGCCAACGCGCCGGGGCGGTGGTAAGGAGGTGGGGAGGCAGCAGACGGAGGAGCTGGGGTGGGCTTGGCTCCTCACCTGCGCTCGCGCGGGGTGAGTGCTGCAGAGGCGCGCGGGCTGAGCGGAGTAGCTGGCAGGACTTGGCCGAGCTCGGAAAGTTGGTCAGTACGGGCAGCGCTTCTCCTGGCCTGGGGTGCTGGGAGCACTGGGCAACTGTTCTACTGGAACTCCAGCCACCGAGACGCTGCCAGGCTGCGAAAGATGCCGTGCAGAGAGCTCGACTCCTTCCTTCTACTTCGGTTTCTCTGCTGGGGCCACTCCTCCAAGAGCTCCTCTGATTTTTTTTTCCAAAAGAACCCCCAGCCTCTGTGTAGGTTTCCTGAACAACTGGGCTGTAGGAAGTTGTATTACTCTGTTTTGTCCCCTCCTTCAAGACATGCTGACAGCCCTATGGTAACTTGTCTCTTGACGGAGTGAGGCTTGGAAACAGTTCTCAGGGGCCAAAGAGTGATGTGAGCGTAGTTGGCTTGGATGATGGGTATTCAGAGTGAAATCTGTGGGTCACACGTTCTTTCTTGCTAGGAGCGCTGCAAAGCAAGCTAACCGACTGAACAGAAAGTTCAGAGCCATCATGTAGCATTAATCACAGGCCCCGCCACTGAGTCGCTGGGAAATTATGTAAGAGCTGTTCTGACCTCCCAGATCTCAGCTCCAAGGACTAGTATCTGGCTTTGGCATCATAACTGTGGTGCATGTGTACATGGATGATCTGCAGGAAGATCTCATTTGCCTTTTGGTAGAATTGCATAAAAGTTATCAGCGTGACATACGTCAAGACAGCATTTGGAAGACTCGAGTGTGTGGTTCTGGAATGACTAGTCTAAAACTGGTGTTCTTACAGTCAAGTTAAACTAATCTAGTAATGCTCACAGTTCAGGTGGCTTTCTCAGAATTTTATCCACATCCCTTCATTCAGCCATTCAATAGACAGTTTTGGTGAAAAGGTGTTTTTGATCAAAATAATCACTACATTGTCAAGCCATTGTCAAAAAGCCAAAATTCAAAAACCTGACATCATTTTTCATTGTCTCACTTTGTTGCTTACCTGAATTATTAGTTTGTATTAGATTCTGTAGCAACATTATTTCATGTCATTGCTCAACACACAGCTTCTACTGGTCTATTTCAAAGTGTAGTTAACCTGGATTCATTTGTTTATAATGCAGATTTTTTACCAACAAATTATTGGGAGGAGTGCCCATAAATCTGCATTTTAAGCAAGCTCCCTGGATTATTATTGGGCACATTAAATCTGGAGAACCATCACCCTAAGCTACACTAGGTCCCTCCTAACTTCAGAAGCACTTTTTACCTTGTTCTGTTTATACTGTATGGAAAACCCTCACACCCCAAGCCTAGAAGATTATCTCCTTAGATTATAGTTTACCTCTCAACGAAGATTTCTCTAATAGTTAACCTTCCCGCTCCTCTACCCCAGAATGAATGATTCACCCATTCTTTTGGGCTTCTATGACATTTTATTTATCATTCATTTGTGAAACTTTTTCCACACTACATTATAATTCTTTTTTTCTTGATGTGTGTGTGTGTGTGTAAGAAAGAAGGTAAGAGAAGGAATAGGAGAAAAGTCATTACATTGAAAAATATTTGTACTCTGTCCGCTCTCTCTTTAGGCTTCTAAGGCTTTATGAAGGAAGACCTTTCACTTGTAAATCAATTATTAGGCTCTTATTTGTTAAATAGAATGGTGGATGAACAAAAACCCAAAAAGTCAGATAAGCTAGTTGAGCAACTATTTGAAAGAGCTAAAATAGAGAGACCTGAGCACAGAGGTAGAAGAGGGTTGGTTGCTAAGAAAATTTAAAGTAGTGGAGGAAAGGAGAGAAAATATACTTTGTGTCCATACAGAGGTGAAGAGCTACTCTGAGGTATCATTTTCTCCAAGAGAGAGTGACAGTGAGAAGAGTATGATCTCTTAGATGACAGGAAATTTGTCTCTGTATTTCCTCCTAGTGCCTTTCGTGGTACTTGGTAAACAATGAGAGGTCTGCAAAAAAGGTATACATCAATAATGAGAGAGAGCACTAAAAGTACTTCTGTTTTATGGTAAAACAGACTTAAAGTTGCTAGCCTTTAAAGTCTTTAAACTACATTTCTATTTTTTTTAGTATTTATGCTGTAGAAATAAAAGTATGTGAAGATATATTGCGGGCTACTTACTGCTATATCATTTATAGAAGAAAGAGCTATACATAATTGCAAACCATGAAGAGGAAAATGGCTAAAGTATGATTCACATATGTTATGAAATTTACTATCATTAATAAAATTGAGCGGAGGTAACATGCTTGACCTGGAGCTCAATTTTGTTTGATAAAATTATGAAAAAAGCATGTTTTGTTCTTTGTATGTGATAAAATTAAGTGTACACAAGTCATTTTCATTCTCTTAAATCTACACATTAAAACTTTATTCAAGGGAGTGGGAAATGCACTTTATATGTTCTTTGCTTAGAAAAGGCTTGTAGAAACAGTTGACTTAAAGTCTAAATAACATATAAAAGTCAAGCCTTCAGGGGCAAGCTTTAGCCAATTTCAGACTTTGAGGAAAACTTCCAAATCCCTAATCTCTACTCCAATGAGGTCAGAGGACTTTTTACTACTCTCTTTCTAGTCAAAACAGAAATTTAGAACATAGCATGAAATTCAGTGGGCTGTTTCTTTTATAACCTGATGGTAAAATAGGGCCAGCCAATCTATTAAGCCATCATTTGGAAATGGTAAAATACAATGAATTTATCCTACTTCTCAGATTTACTCTGAAAAACTAAATTGGTATAATCCTGACTTCCACTGATTCATCAGCCATATCTTTCTACGTTAGTAGTTTGCCAGTAGAAGTTGGTACTTGTCTGTTTTTCCTGTCTTTTTAAAAAAATTGTTAGGAAAATTATTTCTTTTCTCAACTATTTACCAGGCTCTGGGTTTGTACCTGTGGATTTATGTATAATGGAAATGTGGGGACCAGAATTATTGAAGAGCATTAAAGGACTTCAACTCCCCCAAATGAGATTTGGTTGGCTGACATAGTTCTTTAACACAATGGTGCAGGTCCAGATTCTGTCCCTCTAGGATTAGCTTCTATGTCAACTTGCCTGTTTCCTCTAATTCTTATTTTTTATATCCATCTCCAACTTTGCTAAACCATTTCTATTACAACTCCTGAACTTCCAATCTCCATTCTGCCTTTCCTTTCTGTCCTTCCAAAGGAAACCAGCTAATTCACAGATGCAGTGTGTCTGATCTGTGAAATATAGGTATCCTTGATTTAAATGGAGACTTTAGTATTTAGATAATCCTCATTCTGTATCTCAGTTCTGAGCTGTGTTTTCAAGGCAAACATCATACTGCTTACTTGATATTAAAGACATTTATAATCATTTGTTATTGATAATAACAGAGTAAAACATATTAATTACTATACCATGCCATTCCAATAGCCACCATTTTAATCCCCAGTGACAGAAGTAACAATATCCACCTTTGTCTTGTAGGCTTCCTTGGGGCACTGCATTTCATTGCTTTCCATACATCATCCTGCTTAATCTGCATGACTCTCACATTTCCATTTCACTATGCAGCGCAGGAATGATAACTAACTCATCAAGGACAAATTATAGGAAATGGCAAAGCCAAGATTTGAGCAGCCTCACTCCAAACTGTATTTTCTAAAATGCTACCCTCTTCTGCTTTTCAATGTGGCATGCACCTGCCATATCTCACCTCCAGTCCTTAAAGAAACTTTAAAAGGCATGAGCTTTCCTATTTTTCAGTGTTTTTCTCACCTGCTATGCACCTGAGGTCTTTTCTGGAAATAACAAGGATTATTTTTATTTAGAGACTAATTCAACAGGTAACAGTTGTCATTTTATACTCATTTTATTTTCTGTTGGCTATTAATTAACCAAGATAGAGTAGGCTCTAATTAAAAATCAGTATCTTTTCAATTAAATAATGTAGAAAAAGATTTTGATTGTAAAGCCAGTGATTTAGTCTCATTTTATAATCTTTTTTTTCTGTTTTCTTATAATATCTGTATGCATGAGTGCAACTCTTTTAAGTATAACAAGAGAGGAAAATATAATATACAGCATTTAAATTACGAGCAGCAATCTGCCATTGAAGGTCTGATGTAATTTCAAAGCCACAGTAATATAATTAAAACTTTCTAGCCTCTCAGCGACATAAATCATATGCAATTGGAAGTATAAATCAGTAAATACAATTTTCATAAAAAACTACTCCCCAGTGTGCTAATGGATTCATTTCTTAATTCTTTGCTCAGTTAATTAAGATAACAAAACAAAGATATTTCTTATAGATTTGAATCCTAATTTTATTCTTCATTAGCTTGGTGTTCTTGGAAAAGTTATTTAGCTTCACTAAGCTTCATATTGCCTCATCTATAAAATGGTTCCTACATTGGAGGGTTACTATAATAAATTAATTTAATTCAAGTAAACCACCTTGCACATCGCTGGGGAAAGAAGTGCACAACAAATAATTATGATGATGAGGATGTGGTGATGGTGAAAAGAGAAAGTGAAAGTCCATCACAGGGTAAAAACATTATGATTAGGTTCTTGTAAGTTAGAATCTGGTCAAAACTCTGAAGTAGGAAATCTGCTTTTGGATTTGCTTGAGCCTCTTCTTCAATTCTTTAATATAAGGGGC